GATGCATAAAAGACAGTGCAAAAAGTTATACCAGTAATGTTCGACTATATCGATATGTCGCAACAATAAAGCAAATACGAATGTAATTTAAAATCAAATGCGACCTTAGTTATAACATAGTTACGTAATGGTTAGCCTTGATGCTTTAAGCTTTTATCGCATTTTCAGAAGTTAGTAATAGGTTTTTGGTAAATCAGGTTGTTTGCAAACCAGATTTATATGGTAAAAAGTTGCTAGCGAATCGATTAATTATACAAAAGATCAATTAGTGAATTTCCTTAATTTTCAATTTGTATAACTGCAGTATTGCCTGCTGCAAATCCTTTTTATTGTGCAACTAGGGTTGCAACACTTGCGATTTTTTAAATATAAATTTGACAATAAGCTGCAAATTATATTTAATATATAAGTCTTTTACTGTAATATTATAATATACTATGAATTATATATATCCAGATTAATTATCAGTTTAAAAATATTAATAGTTATTATTTTTATAAACTAAATTTTAAATTATACTACATATATGTACATAATCTGTATTATTAATAATGATAATTACATATACTTTCGATCTTATGACTGCGATCTTACATTATTTTGCAACAAAAAGAATTCTAAAGAGATGCAAAGTTGCCACCTTGCAGAAGGCATCTCTAATTAAATCCTCTTATTTATTTATAAAACAATAAATAATTAGACAAGTTCACCAATATTCGACACACATTCGACACATATAATATAATTAGAATTAATTACTACTCTAAGTGTATCAGTTGGTAATAATGATTTACTATTATTACCCAATTACCTGATGTCGGAGTATGAAAATTCCAATTGATGGTTACATTTTTATGCAATGATGACTATATTTTTCATGCATTTTTAGGTTACTACTGATAAAAACAATAAAACCATTAATGTTAATTTTTTATTTTTTTGTCGTTGTGCTTTGAAATTATTTTACAAGTTTATGCTTTCTATTATAAAAATGGAATCGAACTTAAATATAAGTAGTACCATTATACCACATATTTTTTTACCACAAAATATCAACCCACAGCATATTGTAGATGATAACCTCATTATCTTGGAATGTGTTTTGCTGCAAAATTATAATTATGTTATTGATTCGTTCAAAACAATACTACCATTAAATTTTTTGGATGCATTTTCTGATCCGTTTGAAGCAAAGTTTCGCATTAATGTTTGTACAATCAATGATGCCAAAGTATGGCTTGATAAATTTTCAAATTTACATAAGGTCACTATGAGAGAAACACAAGGTCGAATCATTAAAGATGTCAAGTATCTTTTATCTAAACGATTTTACTGTGTACATAGTCACCTAGTAAAGCTAAAACAGGGACAAAAAAATAAAATTAATGATACAAATATTAACTCTATGGAAGAAGTGACAAACGATTTAATTAGTAAACGCAAATGAGATACAAAATGCCTGTCGACACTCAGTATACAATTATGAAATATAGTTAATACTTATCCATGTGTGATTTCTTTGATTTTCTACCATAATCATCCTCTCATATCAAGTCATAGTATGAGCTTTCGCCCTATATCCAATACAACAAAAGAAGTTTTTTTAAAACTTTTTTATTTTGGACATGGCCCGCAAGTGCATACTATACATATATGGAAGAAATACAATTAAAGTATGAGAATAATGAGGAAATATTGGCTGATAGAGCTATCTGCCCTAATAGGCATAATATTTATTACCTTCACAAAAGTTCCTGGATCAATCTGTTGGTGCGAGAAATGGAAAAGACATGTTTGATCGGTTAGCCAAAGAAGTTGATGAGTTCAATATTAATGAAAAAGGATATGCTTGGATGCAACCATATATTGCTCCAACATGTGACAATTCTGGACAACCATTTATCCTTGTAATTATAATCAATCTAATGAAACGCTGTCATTCTCTACAACAAGCTGGTGAATTGGTATACATAGATACTACGGCTGGTCTTGACGTTCTTAATACCCCATTAATGATTCTCTCTACAAGTACATCCATTAGAAGCTTGCCTCTTGCGGTGATACTTACGTCAGATGAAACTGCATATACTTTTTCAGAAGCTTTAAATGCTTTAAAATCTGTAATGCCATTAACAGCATTTAATGAACATAGACCTGGGGTTAGACCTGAAGTTATAATGACGGACGATTGCAAAGCAGAGAGAAAAGCCCTACATAATACCTGGAATAAGGCTACTTTGCTACTATGTGTCTTTCATTTTCTTCAAGCGATGTGGAGATGGTTGTGGGATGGAAAGAATAGTATCAATATAGATGACCGTGTTATTATAATTGGATGTTTGAAGAAGATTGTATTTGCAAAGACTGAATCTAAACTTGAAGAAGAGTATAGAGCATTAATAATTAATCAAGTATACTTGAAATATCCACATTTCCAAAAACACTTTGAAGCCATGTGGAACTGATGCAAAGAATGGGCTATTGCATTTCATCAAGGTCTACCAATCCGTAATAATCATACTAATAACTTTGTTGAAAATGGAATCCGAATTATAAAAGATATCATATTTGGTCAAATACAGGCATTTAATATTGTACAAATATTCCACTTCATAGTTAATACTATGGATCTCTATTATACTCGCAAACTACTTATTATAGCACATAATAGGCCTAATAATTTTACTGCACTTCAATTTCAGCTTTCAGGCTGGAGGCTTGAATCTAAAAATGATATTAAAATTATAAGCTATGAATCATTAACATTTAAACATCAAAGCAGTAAAGACTCTAATAAATGGTACCTTGTAGATATGCAACTTGGAGTGTGCGAATGTAGCCCTACAGGAGCACTATGCAAGCACCAATCTTCAATATCAATTCATTACCGTATATGCAGCTTAAATTAGACACCTAAAATGTGTATAAATAGTAAATATCATTATGCCTATTTGGCATTAGGAGAAAACTGTAAAGAATTAAGTTTTTATGCGAACTTACACCAAGAAACAATTAATCAAGATGAATTTTTGTATTCGACAGAATTTGCAACCTCAAAAAATAATTATATTATTAGTGAAGGTTGTAACAACAATATTTAAAGCTTTGATGACAAAGAAAATATGCTTCCTGATTCTTCAACTTCTATATCTTTGCCTTCCATATCTTTGCAATCCTCAACTATCTGTGAAGTAGAAAGTGTTAATGATAAAAGTAATGCTGAAGATAGTGGAGATGACAATAGCATATACAGTTATAATAGTAATAATGAAACTGAGGAAGGTTTCCATCAATTGGCTATAAATGAGTTCCGATAGTTCTATAATGATATAAAGAATCTTTTTAAGAAGAACGATCCTGCATTTGATAAAAGCATACGAAAATTTGTTAGTGCTTATAAGAAGCACCATTTGGTACAAGATACCCATGTCTATTCAGCCATTTCCTCTTTTTTTCAAACATGTGACTGGAATTCAGAGTGTGTAAATGGTAGTGGCTATCAACGTGGAGGTTAAAAAATTAGGGTTCAAGTCGCCTCAAGTGCTAGACATAAAAGTAAGAGACAAAAGAAAACGCAACAAGCACAAGACACTAACATGCATGATAATCAAGATCTAACTCGCTTTATAATACCTACACGATCAAAAAGATTGCAGAAAAAACATCCGCATAATTTGAATAAAGCCTTGGTCGAAAACCACCCAAATGGTGTTTAAAGATTTTATGATTATCGTGTTTAAAGATTTTATGATTATCAATAACAATACTGTACATATATGCATAGTACGAATACAAAGATGGTTATACATAGTAATAGCACAAACACAAATGTAATGCATTTTCTATAATACTTGTAATGGAAATAAAATGCATTTGCAGTAATGGTAATTAGATGTATCAGTAATTAGATGTTACACATTAGTATTCATAAATTAAAACCGGTATAAAACTGGTATACAATCAGTACATATATGTGATCATCACCACATGACTTTAAACCGAGCACAGATTCTATATATGCTATCTCATAATTATCACTAAAATGTTAACCTGTAGTTTTTTCTTTAATCACAGTAATAACAGAAGCTGCTTAACTATAGTATAATGACTATAACTTGACAGATTCTATACAAAAGTCTATATAAGACTTAACAAAATACAGAATGATTTAGGATTTTAAAGCAGAGACAACAATAGATAGTATATAAAGATACTAAATATTGCATTCAGTTTATTAACTATGAAATATATGAAGACAC